GCCGCTGTCGCCGCAGCCCGCTGCCGGCTCCTAAAGCTCCCTAGCGAGACCGCACCAGGGAACGCTGGTCTCCCCCTGCATGCCAGCCCTCCTCTCCGAGGGATGCTGATGAATCTCTCTCGCATTCCTTGAGGCAGCGGCCGGTCTGTTTTCTCCTTCTTTGCTCGGCCAGCCTCTCCTTCCATTACTTAGCGCCCTTCTTCAAACCGTCCCATGTCACACCCTGCACGTCTGGCGTGTTTCCCAATGCAATAATTATGCGCCGTGGCCTTGTGACTGTGGCTGAAGCTGAACTTATTGCTTGCTTCATTTTTTTTTTTTTGTTATTTCTCTCTTCTCACGTGCATCAATGTATTTAAATGTCATGGCTTTTCGTTCCTCAGCATCTTGGCATTTTTGCAAAAATATACCTGCTTAAGGCTTTTATAATAACGTGTTGTGACTATTTTAGTGCTATTTTTTCTGTCATTTTTTCTTTGGATTCTTTAATGCCAAATGATGATTGATTTTCATGTGCTCTCTACAGTAATACAAGTGTAGTCTTTGGATTCCATCACTTGCTCATAACTTTAATTTACATTGCTCTTCATTTCCTGAATCCTGTAGGCAGCCTCTTGCACATTAACCTGTCTTTTTCTTGAATGATTATCTATCTGCCATTCTCATGGCCGCTTTTTTTAGTGTTAGACTAGTTCAGATTGCTTCAGCTTATTCTTACAAATAACTTCTGCAGTCTCTCTTTTACTTATTTTGTTGATTTGTACAGGATTTCATCTCATTTTCCTAACCTTTATCTGCATTTCTGCTAACATTCTAAGCCTGAGCATCCATGTGTGCTGAAACTTGTATAGAAGCTGTGAAAGAATAGCTAAGGGACAATTAGGTCTTTATTCTTTAATGTTATATGCAAGTCTAATTAAACCACTGTTTATTTAATTTCATCCTCGAAACATTCCATCTTAAAATGCTGATAACATTTTTGACATTTCTGTCATTCTTCATCTTCGAGTACCACAAATTCGGGGAAACTGACTGGTAATTAGTTTTGGTTTATAGCTGTAGCAAGTTTCATAGCTTAAAGTTGTCATGCTTTGACCTGACTGTTCTCTTTCAGTGTGTGTTTGTAGTCACCTACCTGGTCACTTTTGAAGGCTCAGTTATGTATTTTGAAGGATCATGTGCTGAAGTGGATTTTTAAGGATCACCAGAAATCTTGGTTTGTAGATGCACATTCAAATTTTGCATTAAAATGTGTTAGTACATTTGAAGTCTAAATTTTATTTCCTCTTACTCTATATAAACTTTTATGTTGTTATTCTTACAATGTCTGAGTTCCTTTCAGCTTTTCATTAAACGATATCTAAATTGTCACATGGTAGTCCTCATTTTCTCCTTAGGAGAAAAGTTCTCATCTTCAGTGGCCTGTGTTGCTGAAAGTTTACACATTGATTTTATGCATCAAAGAGGCATTTCAAATAATGCAGTTTTCATTCCTGATTCTGCAGTTTATTCAATCAGTTGATATTATTCAGGTCTTTGCTGTTATTCTTTTCACTGGGGGAATCTCTCTTTGTCATGTGTGGGTTTTTCATTTCATATACGTAGCACTGTGTTTTAAAAAAAATAACTAACAAACATTACAAGCTCACATGAAAAAAACCTTTAGTGCTCTAAGAATGTTTTAAAGTGTGTAAAGAATTAACTCTTCTCACACTATTAGAACCTTCAATTTAAAATTAAAAAAAAATAGTAAGTTCTGTTGAGCCCTCTGCTGTCATCTGAACTTCTCTTGTACTAGCAAAATACACGTATAAAGGAAATTATAAACAAAACCAAAGTATATAACCACATACTGTCTGGCTTCTTTAAATATCTAAAAAGTAAAATTGTACAATAATGTGTTCCCTGTGTTTCCCTGCCTGAGTACCTTGGTCCATTAACACCTATGGCTGGTATACCATAGACACTAAGATCTTTTTTCCAGACCATGTAATTAGATTTTTTTTTTTACACAAGAGAATCAATATTTGTGTTTAAGAAAATAAGAATACGGGATTGCCATTTATTAGAGTCAAAGAGTAGGTCAAAGGTAGCTATTTTTTAATTTTTTTTTTGTATCTAGCTGCAGAGGGTATTTTTGCCACAGGGACTGGCTCTAACATTATATGAACACGTAACGCAGCCAGTGTGTATCTGAGTGATTGGAGAGTACCAGCAGCTACCAAAAAAATCAATTGGCATTTTTACTTTGGAATTGTGTAAGAGTGGGATTTAAGTATTCTGAATTTATGATCTCCATCTTATATTTAGGTCTTTAGATAGGAAATTAAAACTTCAGGTGGGGGTAGCAGGGTGGTGCAAAGTGTGGTTTCTGCTGGCAAAGCATGTTACTTGCTCAGTCGCCGCTTAATGAACGCCAAAGCCCAGGGGTCGTCTTGCTTAGGGCACTAATTGACCAGTTATCAAATATCAGCCACATGAATGAAAGAGTCTCATGGCCTCTTCCCTATTTCATAGTCTCTGTTAGAGATTGCCTCCTTTACCCAGAATGATTTTCAGATGATATTTCTGCTTTTAAAATGGATCTACGTGAAAATTGCGTATATAGAGCATGTTAGATGGTGTACTTGATTTTAAGCAGACTAATGCTTTTTCCTATTTTTCCAATTTAGATGGCCTAATTAGTTTATGGTCCAGCCTGATGGATAAGGACCAACAGCTGGTGATAAAAATGAGAAGAGCAACTGATAATTCTCACAGAAGTGCTGCTGCTGTATTGGAGCATGCTTATATTTATTGTGATAAAAATGCTTATATTTAAAATATAATTATTTAATACTTAATTAAAATAGAAACATTTTTATCACAAGCAAACAAAAGACTTTTTAATATTTTTTTTTAAACAGGAGTGAAAGTTGGGGAGGAGAAAAGTGGTGAAGACAACACAAACTGATTGCTAGTTGGAAGACAGTGTTAGAATGTCTCTGCCTAAGTAACTTTTCCCTCTGCAAAATTTCCTGGCAGGCTTTCCCCACTGTGAGGTTGTGTTTATACTTGTAAATTAAACATATCTGGAAATCTTCTTGGACGTGAAGAGCAACTGGCATGAAATGGCCCACATGCTACTAAATTCTCTTATCTTCCAAAACAAGGAAGTAGGGCAGAAGCCGCTTTAGGAATGGCCTTAGAAGGAGTCCTCACCCCAGGCTGGGAAGGTGCCTCAGGGAGCAGTGGTGGTCGTCACAGGCCAAATCCACACCAAGGGACTGTTGTCACAGTAACTAATACAGAGAACTGCACCTTCTTGAGTTTACTGCTGTTGAGATAGCTTAAGACTCCTACAGTCATTCTGACTGCCATAAAGGGTTGAATAAGATAAAAGAGATCTGCTCTGCCTCCCTCAAAATGACTGGGATTGGATCTTTCTTAAATAATAAGACTATGTCAAGGGCAACAGCAGCATAAAGCGAACTGGAAATGGGTTTTGCTCAGATGAAGTTATTGAAAGAATTATCAAGGATAGAATCTGTAGGTGCTAAAAATAAAGGGAAACAGGAACACAAAGTGGGTGAAGGGAACCAGACAGTGGGATTAGTAAGGAACAGTTAATCACAAAGCTGAAGGAGAATAAAGGAGGAAAGAAAAGAAATGTCAGTTGTGAAGGAAATTAGGAAAAGACTCAGAAATTAGTATTTATTTACCTTTCGTCATAATCCTTATGTTATCTGTTTCATCTCTTAAAATTCTGCAGAACTAGAATGGACTGATTTTCACATCATTTTGTTTGGTGCCCTTCATTATTAAAGCCAAGCATTATTTTTGGCCTAGTGCAAAACTAGTATCTGAATTTAATATAGGAGTAAAGCTTTAAAATCAGCAACTTCTTTGCTTAGAAAAAAGAAAAAAAAAGCCACTGAAAAATCCCAAACACCAAAACAACCAAACCCACTATGTTGGAACAATGATGAGTCACACTTGCATTTCAAGATAATTTTATGTTCTCGTTACAATATAAATAAAAGAGGGTTTTTTTGTGGAAAAAAACCCTAAATAATAAGTTCGGGTATGAGTTGCTAATGTGCTGCAGCAGAAAAAAGGTATGTAGTGCTGTGTGTGGAGGTATCATGTCTCTGAGCAAGGAGGTAGTAGTTTATTGTACAGTATATATAAATACCTTAAGCATTAACAAACCCCCCTTTTATTTGTTTCAGTTAGTCAGAATTTAACTAATCAAGCATGGTCTTGATAGGCAGTCTTTACAACAATTTCTATTTAAAGCATGTTGAAACAATATATTTTTGGTTTTTAGAGTATGAAGCAGTTGGTAAGATAGGAGAGGGAACATTTTCTGATACTCTGAAGATGCTGAGTCTTAGGAGTGCACACAAACGTATGAAGCAACATTTTGAAAGGTACGCATAATTAACCATAGTACTACAGAAAATCTTATTTAAATTCATTGGGGAAATAGAAAGTTAAGATTAAGTGAAGTTTTTTGAATACACGTGCATTAAAAAGGTTTGCATGTAGTACAGAAAGGGAACTCGGCTGGTGTTTATGCAGGGCCTTCCCATTTGGCCCTGAGGTTATTTCCTTGAGTTCTCTAACTGATGTCACCAACTGTACTGAAGGCTGCCTGGCCAGTGGGTTGAGGGTGAAACAAGAAGAATGAGGACGTAAGAGTTGATTTGTGCCTTTTTTTTAGGAGGAGGAAATGTGTCAGTCTTCCCCCGGACAACACTTTTTTTCTCTTACTTTAAATAGTGTTTTAGTGCAAGTTAAAAACACTGTATTTAGCCGTAGTCCATGTATAGCATTAATTCTACTTCATATTTGCATTTATATTTAATTACATCCATCAGGAAGACACCGTAGAGTCACAAAATAGGTGCTTTTATCAGTCAGGAAAATAGAGGAGAGGGCTGTATGGAAGTGAACATATACTTGACATCCCTCTCCAAATACGTGTTTCAAACAGTGCCTTTCAGGTCACTGACTTTGTATTCTCCCTTAATATATTTAAGTTCCTAGTGAAATCAATGGACATGACACATTTGTACACACAAAGTGAAATGGGGTGTTTTGCTCGTAGGTGAGGTCCCACAATATAACAAAGACCTTCAAAGACCAAATTAAAAAAAAAAAGAAACAAGTCAAGTATCTTCAAGTACTGTGGCTTCTGATTCTCTCCTGTGTTGTTACAGAACTGTTGGTTTGCTTATATGTTACCTACAACTGACCAAATTGTTCAATTTATGAAGAAAAGAGTATTTAAACTAACGGCTTAAGTGTATGAAGGCAGGTGGCATGCAGGTCACTGGCAGGACATAACAGTAGGGCACAACAAGCAGACTCCCTTTTTTTCATGTACCTTGTTTTAAAAAGTATTTGAGGCCTTTAACCCTTTAATACAAAATTGACTGACAAATTATTTTGATGAAATGATCTCCTATAGGAAGTTATCAGTGTTTTAAACAGAACTTGCCCATAGAAGGTACTTCTGCTAGTTTCAAACTATAAAATATTGTTTTGGTGTTTAGCTTTAAGTCTGACTGTGAAAGGGCGTGTGTCCTGTTCTGATCCAGTAGTGTGCAAAGCTCTTTGTTTCCTGCTTCTTGCCTAGAGTTTCTGTAGCATGACCGTTTGTTGTTTATTGAAGTCTAGGAATGCAACATAATAATTAAACAATAGTTGGACAATGTCTAGTTTTCATATAAGAGATTACCACGAAAACTTAATTTTAGATGTTAAATTTGGCAAGGCTAGATGGTCACTTTTCAGCACCACGTTGAGCAATGGTTGGAATGTACACTACACCAGCGCAGAATAAACAGTATCATACATGTATTGTGTATGCAACACAAAATTCCTCCCAGATAGCTCCTTAGCATGGTAACTGATGTCTGGAGCACAATACGTTACACTCATCTTGTTTGGGTCAGTCCAGCTGCTGTAGACTGCAAGAAGGAATAAGGCCACTCTCCCGATTTGATCTACAAAAATCAAAGCAGGCAAACAATTTATCACGTCCTGCATTTGACAGTTCAATTGTGGACTAAAGTGGAGTAGATTCTGGCAGTCTCATGGTAGGGAAGAGAAACAATTTTAATCCAGTCCTTGATTGCAAGTCAGTCTACCTCTTTTCTTTTTAAATCAACTTTAATATGGAACATGTAAATGATCTGAGAGAAATACAAACACTAGAAGGCTGAGTCTGTATCCTAATATCTTTATGTTACATGAAGTTGTTTTCTAAGTATGGTACATTCATTTCTTTCTTCTTTATTTCTCTATTTGAATGATACTCAGTAACTTTTTGGTCTAGAGTCAACCTGTAGGCACTTAACCAGCTTTTTATTCTGACGGAAAGAAAAAAAAAAACAGATTTGTCAAATTTGAAATCTTCATGGCTTTTTTTGTTAAGAAAATTTTATGTAGCTCTCACTTTCTCTGGCTCTTTTGCAACAGACCAAAAATATTTCGACATCAGTATTAAAATTGCAGACTAGGTATATTTTAAGGATAGCTAAACTTCATATCATAAAATGTAATACTTGCTGGTGATTTCAACCCATGTTCCATATCCGATGAGTGCTTTACCTGCTCAACATCATATCTACGGAGACAATATTTTGGTAACGCACTCCAAAGTTATCTGTTGGAACAGGCTCTGGTACTTCAAGGATCTTGGTTTGACTTGTCAGTTTGAACTAGGGATCCAAGCAACTATTTTGCAGTATCATTTCGTAGGCAACTTTACAGACACCCCTTTGCAAACGATTGAAGTTTAAACCTCTGAATTAGGCCGCAGCTGAGCTATGAATTTGGAAAGAGATCAATTGCTGATGAAGTTGGGTTCCTTAGCCTCATTAGGCACTGAAGTGTCTTTCTGGGGACATGTTCTGTCTCACAAAGAGATCGGGTTTTATGACAGTATTTACTCTGTTACTGTGTGTTACAGCAACAGCAGACATATTCTTCATTACTCAAATACTTGATCCAGCACTTGACTGGTGTACGATATTTTTTTCTTGCTCTTCAGGCTGTCTTATTCCTCTGCTTAAGGCTCTAGTACCGTGCTGTTATTGACAGGCTCGTTTTCTACAAATACATAGAAAGCTGGTAATCGCGTCAGCAGCTTAGCTTCTGGAATTCTCAGCTTCAGCTGCTGTGTTGTTAACGAAGTGTAACCCAGATGGCCAGCCAGCTCGCCTGGCTTGCTCACAGTCTGTCTGCAAACCAAATTGCAGATTGTACCCTCAACCTTTTGCTGTCTGGTTAATGGAACATTGCAGAGTGGGAGGTACTTTAATGCAATTATAAGAAAAACTGGAGACCTAAAGACATCTGCCTCTGTGGGGCAGTGAAATGGAAAATAAAGTGTCAGATGTATCATCGTATCATGACAATACTTAAAACTGCCATTGTCAGCAAAACACAGATTCCAGTCAGATAAGGAATTTCTATACAATAGAACACTACTGGCAATCTAACGAAAGTATTTTCATATATGGCATAAGGGCTTACCTATCTTTTATTGTTAAGATCGTGTCAGTTAATTTACTGAACAGTGTGGTGTGCCCAGAAAACAAGCCTTCCAATAACTTTATGGAGTAAATCAGTTAACTTTTGCAATAGACACTTTGGATAGTATAAACTAAAACCATGATTCCTTGGACCCTAAGTTGAAAAACTTCTGTGAGAAAGTATCAATTAAAAATTAATATGTCCATTTTAATATTGGTTAAACTAAGTGCTTTTTTTTCTACATTGTGTACAAACCAACATTTCTGGCTTAAAGTCTATTTGTTTCTTCAGTGATAAAAAATTTGCTTCCCACTGATATGTGATCTTACAGACATGAATATTCGTGAGCTGATAAAAGGCATATGCTTAAGAAAGATACTAACCCTGCTTGTATAGATCACGAACTGGAATGAATTATTTTTCACTTGGTTGTTGAGAATTAAATATTATGAAATTCAGAGGGAATATTTGTACCGTACTGCTTTATTATTTATTTCCTTTCAGTGCAATATACCCACTTGTTTAAGGCACGGATGCATGCAGAAGGTTTCTAATGAATTGGGTCAATGTCCATCTATTTCTGCCGTAAAACCTTACATGAAAACAGGGAAACAACCTTGACTGCAAAACATAGAATAATTGCTGTATGTAACAAAAAGTACAATTCAAACAGGTTCTTTGTAAGGTCAGGACTGTAATGATATAACAAGAAAATTACTCCCATTTGTTTCAAAAACTACTGAATCAAGGAATAATGATTTCCAGGTTTTATATCTGGAGCTGTTTGCCAAAGCAGATGGGAGACTATAAAGCTTAAGGAAGAGTTCCTACAAAAAACCAGATCTCATATAGACACCAAAGTGGTTGGATACAGCAAATGAAGGGGCACTTACTTGTAATTCAATATTAAAAGAGATTTATTTTTTTAATAATTGAAAATTTGTAATGTCTTAACAGTTGGGAGATTGATTTAAATGACTGAGCACACAACTGTCATTCAGTGTAATAGAACAGATATAATCTTGCTCCCAAACATTGTTTGTGACACTGAGTATTCAGATTTCTAACACAAGACGTAACCCTGTTCCTGACCTAGATAAGAATTAGAGGTTAAAACAGAGCCGTTTGCTGATCACTGAAGCAGACATTAATAGTTGCTGGTTTTAATGAGGCTTTTTTTTATTTTTTGCAGGATAAATTTGTTAAATTGTGAAGTCGGAGTAATAGCATACAGGCAAGAGTCCTTATTGGATAGCAAGTTAGTCCCGTGCATTTAAAACAATCCTGCATCTTCTCCCTCTAGGAATGATAATATACTTCTGTTGAGAAAAAATCAGAATGTTTAGGTTTGTTCTTTAACTGCCTTTTTTTTTTACCTCAGGATTTGCTTTCATTTGGTTACATTTCTGTGTTTCTCTCATTATTTTCATTTGAAAAAGCCTGCTATATTAAGCATTGTATACAGATGAAAATTAGTTTAATAGTTTCAGTATATTCTGCTATGTTTTTTTAATTTTAAAATACATTTTTCATCAAATCCAAGTGTTCTAAAAGAAGATTGTTTTCCTGCCACTTAATTAAAATAAACCTCCTTTTTATGGCATGGTGAATCACTTCAAAATGAAATCTGTGTTCAGTTGTAATCTGAAATGCTGTGGTTAGGGTTAGTTATCTAACCATTCATCTTTGGTCTGCCCGAACTGCTGTACCTTGCTGATTCTTCTTTATGGTCTGGATTTTGTGTCTGGACTTGTTTCCCGTGACACAATGTCTTTTTTTTTCACCTTCTACAAGGTGGAGCTCATGAAGCTTGTCAAATCATAGAATAAAATGCGAAAATGAACAACAGATTCCTGTAGAGGTTATAATGTATTGTTTAAAAAGTATTTCGATATTTTGAGGTATTGAGGTGTTTCATTTGTGTTCTGCATTTTTCAGAAACTTATTTTGAAGTTTCAAAGTAGAAGTGTCAACACCACAATTTCCCCTGAGGCAAAAATAGTTTTTTATTTGTTTTCTCCCCCAGACAACTGTGTTGTTTATTGCAAAGTCAAGAAATGTAACCTGCCAGTCATTTCAAACAATAAATATGGTAAAAATTCCAAGTACGTAATTCAGCTGGAAAATTGATCTTTGTTCTACAGCCAGAATATTTATCAGGTGAGGTTGTCTAGATATCTGCAGCTCCTTTTACATCTTCTGCTTTGTGATTTGAAGGAGTGCATCTGTAGAACAATTAAATTGTGTTCATTAGAGATGCTCTGTCACAAAAGTTTTCAGAGTGTGCAAAAGTAGTTGCATTCCAGATGATTTGTAGTCTTTTGTAAATTTCTATATAGTAATGCAAATGCTTGTCATTTTCTGATTACTCTGAATCTTGCAAAATTAAGCTTAATGCAGGTGCAGAACAACTTTAAAACTCTGTGTTAGAAACTTTTAGAGGGAAGGATGGTTTGTATGAAATTTTGTAATGAAGAAAAACTTGAAGCAGAGTTTCAGAGTGACTGAAAATTTCTAATTTAACAAGATGTATGAAGGCACTTCTGTAATTAGGAGAACAGCTCACTGGAACGCTACTGATGTGGAAAGTTGATACTTCTAGTTTTTTGCTTAAAGCAAATTCATGTTACTTGAATCAGGGCAAGGCTATTTGTCTTTATGCAAAGTCATAATACTCTTGCTTTTAATTTATAGCAGCGTCACAAGTTATTTAATCCCTGAGAAACAGCCTTGCCTTTTGTTTGATCAAGAACGTTTTGGTCATTTAAAGCGATGAAAAGAATACGGCTTAGGGAAGATGCCTCAGGAAAAAGAAATTGTAGCCTCAAGTGCTGCCGCCTTATGATTTGTTTCATCATTACTCCCAGCTGAAGTTTCTCTAACGATAAATCTGGGAGTAGAAGAGCATCTGCTCCAGATTTTACTGATGACCTGTAATGAAAAAACTATTGAACGTGACTTCTTTTTATGAAGGCCTGATTTTTTAAATACTACTAACAATTAGAGTTGGCTCAAATAACTGTGTTTCATAAAATCTTTGCTACTCTAAATGACAAAAATCCTGATGTTGAAACTGCCATTTATCTCCACTGGGGTAATATTCCTGCAGTTCCCGATGGAAGTGGTTTCAAGTGCTTTATTACCGAATCCCGTCACTGCCTGGAGGAGTCCTGCAATCCGTGAGGAACAGAGTCCTGCCATCTGCATGGCCTTGCAGCCTCAAGGAGTTACTGTCCTGGTAATCTCCCTCCTCTGCCTCCCAGCCAATTACTCGTACTGCTGTCAGCAGGCAGAGCAGTACCTGCTTTGTTTTGTGAAAATGTGATCATTTCTCCCTCCATTGATGACATTGCAGCATTACATAAAGGCATTACGGCAAGATTAAAAGGCCTTTGGGGGCCTGTAAAAGAAAAAAGCTGAGTAGTTACGGAATGGTTCTGAAACATAGGTACGGTTTATAACTGTCGTTATTGCACAAGGGCAATAGCAAGCTAAACTGCATAGGTTAACCTTTAATTTTCAAGTTCAGTGTGAATCATGGTCTTTTAAACTGCTGTAATATGAGGTGATTGATATGAGCCTTGAACCTTAAGGACAGCGACTTTGTTTAGAGAGGGAATTAGAAGTTTAGAAATGAAATATTGCAGTTAGAACTTGAGGAAACAGATACATGCAGTAAAAGCTAAGGCAGATTACAGACTATTGAACTGGCAGTTGTTACTGAGCTATTCTGGTGCATACTGAAATCTAAATTATGTCTGAAGTTGAGTGGAAAATGGCTTATAAAGGTAGCTATAAGTGACAGAAATAGTATAATTGAGAAAGGTACTGTCAGTGCACTATTGGCAGCTGAAGAGTAATTTTTTTGTACTGTGTTGTTTGCTAAAAAGGACATGTACAACTTGCAGTTTAGTTCTAGGAAGGATAAAACCATTACCTGAAAGGAAAAAAAATGAAGAAGTACATGTACCAGTTATGCAAATCTCTCAATTACATAGACAGGTAAGAGATGTGGTTCAGCACATGTGACCTCCCCTTCCTGCACTTGCCTTTTCCCCAATCCCATACTTGTAGCTGCTGTCTCACCCTGGTGGCAAAGTTCAATTTTTTTAAATTTTTTTTCTACTGTGCTGTTGATAAGTTTTCATAAAGTGTTAGTTTCTTTAAGTATCTTTTGCAAATAACTGGAAGCACTGATAGTATTTATCTTTTTACTGAACTCTCTGTTGTTTTTGTATTGGTACAGAAATGGGGTATTTCAGAGAGAGGTGAAACCAGAAAACGTTATTAAAGGTAATTAATTTTATGTGATAATATTTAACTGAAAGTGAAGTATATTGGTATTTTTCTCTTTACTCTGAGAAGATGATGTTTCTTCATGAATAAAAGTACATTTTTTAAAAAAATATATAGGCAGTTACATCTGTGTTCCTGATCTAGAGGAATGAACAAGCAAGTTTGGTATTGGCTAAAACCTGAAACGAATCAGATGCATTCCAGCCTGCATGTGTTCACTCCAATCTAAAAAGCTGTTCGTTATCGTCTGTTAATGTATATTTTCCTTCCTGTGTTAACCTAGAAACAAGTGACGGGGTTCAGTTCTGCAGTTCTTTCTTTCTACATTCAACTCCTACCTTTAGTGGAAGTTATTCATTCGAAAGCAAGCAGAATATATTAGCTTTCAGAAGATTTCTTCTTTGAAATCTATTCTCCTGACAGTTTCAGAATATTATTTCTCTAATGTCTGAAAAGCAAGGATTTCAAAATTCAGTTAATGAAATTTTATTTTCTGGAGTTAAATTTCTCTTCTAAGTCTCAGAAGCGTCCACAAGAAGCTGTTACAAAGAGAAGCCAAAGCCACCTCTTACATCACTGCTGGAGACAAGAACTCTTAATAACTTAATCCAGATGTCCTATTTAGCAGCCTTCCCCTCAGTAATAGTCCATATGCTTTTCAGTTAACTCTTAGGTTTTTCTTTTAATGATGTACAGAAGAGCCTTTGCACCCACTGTGGCACACAGTTATCTTCAAGCCTGGGGCTACTTGCAATTTAAATGCAGTTTTACTGCTATAATACTACCCCTGGGATTTCTGAAAGGTTATTCTTAATCTGTCGTTTGTTCTGTGATGACTACTTCACACATTTCAGGAAAATCTTTGCTGGAGTATTTCAGTGTTTCCAATTTGTCAAAATACTTTATTTTTGCAGTAGAATACGCTGAGTTTCGGAGCTTTTGGATCTAGTAGGAATATCTGTTCTAAGCAGCCACATGTGGAATACGTCTCCACACACCGGTCTGGAGCACCTGAATGCTGACTTACAAATGGCTGCTGTAGTTACAGAATTAGTGTGTGGAGCACTGGCTGTGTTTTCTACAAAATCACAAGGTACAGTGTTCAGTGGAGGCCTTTTGATTATTAATCAGGCAAATCAAAGGTAAAGAACTCAAATAAGGAGCACGTAGCATGAGTAATACGATCTTTGTTTCCATTCTTTTTTGTGGAAGGTGCCTCTGTGGTTAGCCTGCCAGGTTCACAAGGCGGTAATGCTGTCGGGTCTGGCACTCTCTTCACCCGATGGCAGGTTAGTAATAAAGCAGCGGGGTGTTCAAGAGAACATAGTACCGACAAAAAAATATTTACAAAGAAAATAACATTTTTTAACAGTTGGTTGTTTTCTTGTGGGTTTTGTTGGTTTTTTTTTTCTCCATTGGCTTCATATCTGAGTTTAGTACAAATGTATTTTCTCGATGCTTTATGTCTGTATAGAGTATGGCTCATTTCATCTCATAAGCATCACTAACTATCCTCAACCTTGTTAATATACTTGATGGTAAATTTTTTCCCTCTTTTGTTGACTTACTATTCTGCAAAACCAGAGGAGATTATAAAAAATGATTTACTACTTTGATTTAAAATAGTGTGTGTCTAAGACCCTTGTGCCAGGACCTTATGTCCTGGAATATTTTGAAGTTGGATTCTAATGAAGGAATAGCTCAGGAAAGCCTGAATTAAAGTCCTTCAAGCTTTTTGATGACAGTGAGGCCGTAACTCAAAATATTTGTCACTGGTCTTCAAGAAAAAAGGAAAAATAACCACTGTGAGTAGTCCTCCAATATCTTTGAGCCCTAGCAACAGCAGCAGTTCTTTATTCTCCTCCTACACTGCTGTCTCTGATCCGCAACCAGGAGTGGTAACATTTGCTTTGCTTCTTTCCTCCTCCTCCACATGGTAAGTGCAGCTGCTGCCATCACCATCACATTAAATGACAACCCCTATGCTTTCCCTGCTAACTTGTAGAAACAGTTCTACTTAGGTCAGAAAACTGTTAACAGAAAAATCCCAAATGCAGCAGTTCTCTTGCAAAGTAAATTGGGACCAAAAGCTTTAAAAATGCCATGTTTTTCCTTTTCAGTTTGAGTCAGGGGGCCTTTGAAGTTTGGCAAGAAAATTAAAAGCTGCAAACTTAAGTTTTCATAGGGCAAAAAACCTTAAAGATATTTTCTCATAATTTTAGCTTAATGTAACAAATGTCATTCTTCGCAATCCCTGCAACCATTTTCAGCGACCTCACAGATGTGTTCACAGAGAAATGAGGGATGTTTATTGGAAATTACTGAATTAAAAAAGATACAGTCTTGCGAAGCTAAAGGAAGTCATGGACAGGTTTATTCCTTTTGAAGTGCATCTTGAAGTTTTTGCTGTTGAACGTTTGTGTAAACCTTCACGCTTTACACCACACGGTGTAAGAATTTTTAGTGTTTTACTCAGCCATGCTTATCATTGAAATCTTGCTCTCCCTTCTTTCTGTTCCTTATAAGTCATAGTTCCTGGAGTATATGTTTTGGTGGATTGCACAGTTCTTCACTCTGTTAGTTTCACATTTAGGGACAGCACGTTTTTGCAGTTCATACAAAAGCCCCTCCCAACTGCTTCTCTTGATACAGCTGCACAACAGCTGTGAGATTGAACTTGCAAATAGTTACAAGAAATTTCCTCTGTCTACAAAGAGGGCTGAGGGGTTTACTTTCAAGAATCTAGTGCTGCTGGAGTGTTTCTTAAATTATACGCCCAAGGAAATGTTCTGCTAATACGGAAAAAAGCAACATGTGCAAGAAACAAATGTCAGTGGACCTAAATTGCTAAGTCAGATTGTTCTACTGTGATAGCGATGTTTTCAAGGTCTCTATGCTAGTTTTATATTAACTGAGGATCAAGCTCAGGAATGCAGTTCCATTTACAATCTTTCCAGTATTGCTGCTTGCAAAGAACCTGTTAGGAAGTTTCTTCTATATTTCTCTGTGCATACACAGCAAGAGGGACTGCTTAACCCTGTGGTCCTAAAATGAGGAAAACATATTGAATCCTGGGATCTGCCACTTAACTAGGAGAAAACACAATCCCGTATCCATTGCCTTTCCCCAGCAAGGATGTTCTCTTCACCTATTTTACCCCAAACCTGTCAGGAGAGGGCAACCACAGGTTTCTGTGTAATAACACAAACTACTCTTTTGTCCAAACATGCAGTTGCATTGATCTGCTGCTCACATGTTACCCCTTCAGTTGTTGGTTGGTGTTAAACTGTCCCAGATGAATAATTCTAAAATGTATCTTCCTTGTAAATGAAAAATGTTTAACTGAAATGGCAGCTATGCTACTTAAACTAGTTTATGTCTTTCTTAATACTAATACGATCTCTTCCCTTGCAGCTTTTAGCTTCTCTTTCCTGGATCTAATGAGCTGGACCAAATCTCAAAAGTCCATGAGGTTAGAGGTGCTCCTGCTAACAAAACTCTCAACAAGTTCAAGCAGTAAGTACGCACTCCCATAGTTATTTTTCTGTTTAAATATCCACAATGTAACTGTATTACTGTGTGCAATTTCTGCTCAGGGACCACCACAAAAATCCAATTCTGTTGTGATGGCTGCTGACCAAAGAGCAGTGTCTTGTATCGCCTCCTCCCGAGACGGTCACGCATTCATGATCCTCGTAGGCAGAGCAGAGGAAATCTGAACCTTTATCAGTCTTACGTGGCCTTTTATTTCCATGGGATCCTTAAGGCCAATGACATTAGGGTTAGAAAAGAAAACATTATTTTCCAAGTATTACTCACTTGTCCCTAGTGAATGATTACTTATATCAGATGAGAATCTTTTTTTACAGTAAAGTGTAATTTTCTTTTAAGATGCATGAATAACTGTTCTCAGCTTGCTTAATGCAGGTCAAGAATTGCAAGTTTTGATTTCTCCTTTAAAAAAGGAAAAGGAATACCTCCTCTTGTGCACAAGTTGCCTCCCAAAGGCTTCTCTCTCCTATAAAATATGACCCTGATGAGAGAATTGCTGTCCGTCACATTACAGAACCTTTATATTCACGAACTCTGGCAAGTAGCTTCAAATCCCTTCAATCTTGAAGGCTAAAATAAAAAACTGAGTGGAGGACTGTATGCGTATTTAAATTTAAAGTGGACTGGAATGAAGTTTGGTTACGGTGTTAGTACTTAGCTGGCAAAGAGACAAACATAATTCAGTCAACGTAATTTTTTGCATTGAGTCCAAACTTCATTTAGGTGAAGCACAACTGATGTTTTTCCTTTTTTTACCTTTTTCCCAAAACTTTTTAGGGCAGCTGATACACAAGCTTTGGCCGTGCACAAAAGAATAAGATTCCTAGGAAATACATCAGAGCAAGTACCTCTGCATTTGCAGCAAATTTCAAAGGAAAATCAAAGACAGGCAATATTTAAGTGGAAGAATAGTCAACTCATTTAGAGAAAGTAATTTGTGGCACTGAGCTTGTTAGCTAGAAACAAATGTTTTACTTAAGCTGATTACTTGGTTTTACTCAGTCTGCCTGAACACTGATCTTTATTTGGTCTGATGTAGTTCCCTCCCTCCTCCCAAAGCCCTGAAACACGAGGTAGAATTTAGAAGCTGTGATACCACATAATCCCTTCAGTAGACTCTTGTCATAGTTGCTGTTACTTAAAGGGTCAGTTCCACTTTTTTTTTTTTTAATATCGTAATCCTCTTTTTGCTGCCTGTGTTTGAGTTCAAGAGTTTTACAGATGATGTTGCAGCAGAAACAGCAAGTGTGCCTTTGCCTTTTCAGGCCTTAAGTCCACAGTTTGAGCAAGTGAAAATTTATTTTTCATATCTTAATTATCCTATATTTAAATGATATATGGGAAATGCCTAAACTTGTATGTGATACTAGAAATCAAGTAATTGAAGTCTAATTAAAAATTCTGGCAAACTAAAACTGTGTTCCTATGCAGACTATGTGACAAATACTCAGTGTATTCACTCTTAAGGGTTTGCTCTATCTGCAAGGTGAGATAGAAGTTAGTACTATGTGAAAAACTCACCAATACAGGTTTTTCTCAAAAAATCAAATTACAGTACCAAAAAAAAATTAGTAATTATATTTTGCTGTGCATTTAACTTTGAAAACATGAACCCTCCTTCCACAGGAACTTTATCCATCAATTCAGTTCTGGGGCTCATCAGTGTAGGCTTTGTAAGAAGTTTCCTCAGGAAGAATTGCAAGAAACATCGTGTGAGGCAGTAATTTAAAAAAAAATAGCTGAAGTAGTATTTGTCAGGTTTGTTTGTTTGTTTGTTTTCCTGATTTCTGGATTTTATCTTGTAATTTTGTTTCTTAAAACGTCCTCAGAAAGAAACTGAATCTTGTTTATTTATCTATTTTGAAAGCATTCTCTTAGGGAAGTCCAGGGAAAAAACCCAAAACATCAACATGGACATCCTCATGGATAATTACCAAAATTAAATCTTTCTGGAGCAGCCAAATCGACATCCTGTCCTACTTCTACACTGCATCCAGTTTTCTGGGCACCTAAGGGGTTCTCAGCAGTCCTAGAACCAGAAGGCACTGAAGTTTCCCCCCAGACATTTCCACTTACCTGCTACAGAGCAAAGAGGAGGAGGTAACTGACCACTTGTAAAGTATTTGGAGGTTGAGGAAGAGCACGAGTACTCAGGGAGGGCCAGTCTCCGTTGCTGTGACAAGAACAGCAGTGGGGGGGGAAACCCTGGGAGGCTCTGAGCACTGCGAACCTCCCGTTTTGGTGTTCTCTTCTGAAGGGTATCGCTATTTACTGACAGCTTTGTGCTGGCAAAGCTCAGAGAGCACTCGGTGTTGAACTTTTTAAGTATTTGTTCCTTTCAGAACCTTATGCAGGAGGAGGTTGGTTAAAAACAACATTAAAGGATTCTTTGAGTTTCTTTATTAGGAATGGAACGTTATCTACAAAATAGACGTTTTCGTATTATATTATAAATGACAGCTAACTTCTGTGTATTTTTTAGATGTAAAAATTTTCATATTTTCAGTCAATTCTGGAAAAGTATTCACCTTCTGTATCCAATTACTTCAGCCTCAGGCTTTATTGAGAATGTGCAGATTATGCCATCATATGAGATACATGTTTTTGATGCAGTTTCTGTAACTGCTGAATATTTTTATATAACTATCATCTAGCTAAAAGCTAAAGCAACTTCTTACCTGATTCAAAAGCAACTGAAATTTAGTCATAGATTTCTTCAAGCCATTGACCGTAATATTAGTGAAAAGCTTTACCAGTGACTGATATTGCAGGTAGTTGCTTAAAAGAGCAGTAAAGGATTATATATTTGTACCAGGTTTCAGAAGTTTCACACACAGATCATCCGGAACTATTTAATTAACATGACTGTGATTCTGTGATTTTATATTGTTCCCTAGTGCTATAAAAGGTAAGAGTTAAAAGGCAGCATTTTCATCTTAGGTGGAAACAGTAGTTACTGCAATTTGATACCATTGATTTTAAAACTCCTGAGATCTCTAAAGTTACTCTGCTCATAATTGGGAAGCAATCAGCTTTTTTTTTTTTTGTTCCACTAACCAAACACATCTGGTACTGTCGCTGCTGATCAAAATTTTCTGTGCAACAAAAAAGTGAAACCCAAGCAGTGAGAAGTCAGGCAAGGGGCATGAGGTATTGGAAGCCACAGCGGCACGTGAGGCACTATGAAAAAACACACTGGGTAGTAGATCATGTAAAGGTTACTAAGCCGGCCCTTAAGCATCAATTTTGAAATTGATGCTGTAAATCCAGGCAAACTATTTATTCTGATCAGTTAAGAGACTGCAGTTAAACACATGAACATTAAAAAGAAATGCTAGTATTTGTGCATTTGTGGAAATAACAATTCTTCTCACTCAGTTATAGGTTTTCCAGTTGGTGGGGCTTCTGTTATGTTGGGGTTTTTTTTTAGTTAGGTTTTTTTTTTTATTAATTGGCATCTCCGTGCTTGTAGGATGCTGCTGTGATTGCATCAGATCCTACTCCTTGTTCTGCCATTCAGCTTCTGGGTAACTTTGAGCATGCCCAAATTCCACGCTGTAACTTTTCTATGCGGGGAACCCCGTGAGACTCAAGTTCTTCATGAATCCTGTTGAGATCTACTGCTTAAAAGCACTTTTCTATCTTATGCTATCTTTATGTTTTGAAGTATTATTTTCACATACTGTACTGAGGCTCAACATTACATTTACTAGCAGATTTTTTTTTTTTTTAAATGTAAAATATCAGCAGGCTACATTTGTGGTGCATAGTGTGGCAATATTTTTTTTTATTATTGATTCAAATTTGACTATTCAAGTTGAATTATCTTGCACCTGCATCGTGGCCTACTGTACCTTTTTGCATTTTATTCTATTATTTCACAGCAAACTTTCCGAAGTTCAACAGCAAGAATGGAAAAACATCCCAGCCCTGGCGAGATGTCTTATAAAAGAAGGCTATAGCGAGTGAACAAGGCTCTGCAGGGAAACGTGTATCACTGCAACTTGGCTGAGGTATGCCAGGGGAACAGCACCTTTCTCTTACTAGGACTGAACAAACACATAAGCAGAGTTTTAGTGGAGGAAGTGTTCTACACCACTAGAGTGAGAACATCATAATAAAGGGAGAATTAGCTATACCGTTATGTTCTGGTGTTTAACTGCTCTGTCTCATTTTATTGAAACTCACGCTGGATGGATGTTGTCTTTCTTGCAGCTCCAAGCAGAAAATACGCTCCTGACCATGGTACCTCAAAATGCAGCAGGGAGTGACTGGCTGAGTTTTACAGCTGTTACAGTTAATCATCTCCCCACTTCCTCATGCTTTCGTGTTAGCAGCTCCTACCGACAGAACAGATAGACAGCTTCGACAGTAAGGCAATCCAGCACGTGTCTGAATACCTAGCATAGGTTTATATATACATATATATACACATATAAAGCTATCATAGGTTTTTATATAAAAATTTAAGAAAGGTGTGATGCTAAGCTTAAGAAATGGGATTAAGAACTGCGGCTCTACGGCCAGCACAGTGTAACAGTAATCTATGACTTCTTACCTTTGCGACTCCGAGCAAAAAGGTGCTGTGAGCTTATCCAGTGGTTTTTTTTCCAGAGAGGAAGAGGGCGAGTTGCTTAGCACTATTATATTTGGAGTTGAGCATGGTGTGCAGCAGTAAAAATGATGGTCTAAAAATAGGTAACTTTTTCTATCTGAGGGATCTTTCTCTCCGCACTTATTAATTTCTTAAAAGATTTTTAAAAAGGACAAATCCTACTAGCTATATTTGACTGACCCTTCAAACTCGGAGCTCTTACCGAGCGTTAAACAGTAGGCTCTTATCATCAAGCATATTCCTGATGGCGGTATGTTAATTGTATCGGTAGCTTCCCATAATCTCTTTCCAGGAACCTCAAACCACAGATGCTGTAGTTTAAGTATTTCAACATTTCAACTAGAAAAAAAAAATTTCCCTTAGATCGTGTATGCACAAGATACTTTCCTGTCTCCAAAAGTGTTGCTGCAACTGTGTGCTTCTATAATTACTATATCAGGTAGGTAGTTATTCATATATTAGAAGTGGTGGTTGTTTTGAAAAAGATGGTAAGTTTTAACTTGGAAAGAAAAGGCCATCAGAATAATATCTCTTATGTTACCAGCAATTCTCTCTCGCGTATTCTGTATGTGGGGCTGTCAGCTATTAAAATGAAAAGGGCAGTTTTGTATTCAGTAGATCAATTTTGCTAGGAAAAATGGAAATTTGAATTGAAGCACATTGGAAATTTTCTTCATTTATTTTACATTTTCAGGTGGATCTTATACAGTTTAGTAGATACAGTGCTTCACGACTATTTATTTTATAACAAGTTCTTTGCCATTATACCTCTGGAGCCAACGTACACTTCTCTGGCTACTGGATTAGTAGGTAAACTTGAGTATTCCCACCTGCTTTATAGTTAAAATACACTGAATTTTAAACTACAAACTGGCAAGTATTGCTTCCACCCTAATTCTTCCAGCTAAAATCCCACATTGAGATGATCTGCATTCCACTCACTTTTAATTTTTATTTAACAACCTAGGAAAAAGTTACTAAGAGCTGTATCTATAATAGAACTCAAGTTCTTTTCCAGGTAAGTTATTAGTATCCCTTTTCTTCCTGAAATAATTTTTTCCATATGGAATAAAGGGTGAAATGGGCTGTTCAAGCTTCTAGATGACTGCCTAAACAAAAACCACGTACGTTCCTCGTATGCTGTTGAACTGTGATTTGTAGCAGGGACATACCCTGCAAACACACAGGCAAGCAGCTGCTGTTATATTTATCCTCACGTTAGATGCTACGGTCCTTTCCACACTGGTTTTGCATTTTCCCAGCTGAAGGAAAAAAAATCTAATTTTAAAGTTATTCTATATTTTCTCAACTGTTTCATTTTGACTCAGACCGCGTTATGTTGAAGGCTACAGGGAGATAGCTACACTAGTTTTCAGTGACAAGATTTATCTGTATTTTAACAATTAAACCCACTGTCTTAATAAAAGTTCTGAACAATAATCCTGCTCAGTTTCAGTATTTTCCCTATTCCTCATACTTTAGAAGAACGTAAGTAGATAAAAGTAAAGTACTGCTCCATCTTTAATAGACAATCTAATTGCCGGCTTATAAACGTATCTGGCACTTTTCTACATGCTAGCTGCACTACAAAAGTAACTTCGTCACAAATAGCTACTGCAGTTGTTTCTTCCAAAATTTTTATTCATTTCCTGAAGAAAAAGTAATTTCTCCTGCTGGAAGATGTCTAAAGTTTACTTGCAATTTAAAAAACTCTACCTAGCTTTATTGCTGGAGAGCAGGAAGGGCTTTAATGTGTGCCCTCAGCTGCAGCGTGTGCGTACTCAGGCCAGTTTCACTCTGCTGGCCTCATGCCCGCCTACAAGATTCAGCGAAAGCCAACTGCAAATACCGCTGCATCGGATAAAGGGCAAAGTATGGCAGATGCTTTTATCTTCTGCCATTCCTGGGCTTGACACAGAATGCCATCTCTTGGGTTTTTGGTGGTTTAGGTTTTTTGTATTTTTTTTCTTAAATCCTTACAGGAACTACTGAAAACAATTTAAGTGCTCTGTTGCTGACTGATTAAAATTAACATGTTCCAGACAAGCAGCATTAAACGATACAAGCGCCTGGGTATGTCTATCTCCATAACACTTACCAGTTTAAGGGTGATGAATTATAAATGAGGTGCCTGATGCAAGACAAACGAGTTGTCTCAGAAACGCATCTCCTCCAATATGTTGACCTAATTTTAGATTGCCAAGTCAGAGAGAGCGTGCATCGACTGCTGCTGGATCTTTCACTTCACAGCCCTTGAGACAAACACACGGGACTAATGTGAGAATAAACTCCTTACCCCAGAGAGCTGGCTGGCTGGAAGTTTTTCGCCTTAGGATGTGTCCAGAGATAAACCATTAGGAATGAGAACAGAACAATGTTGTTTCACTTTCCCAATTGAAATTCTATTGTTTTAAATACAAAGCAATGTTCTAGGTGAGATATTTTTGAAAGGAATTTGTTCTACAAGGTTTAGATGGGATTTCTGTACTAAACATTTAATTCGACAAAGGATTGATTACATCAAAAGTGATCAAATTTGAACAGAAAGTAAACAAAAAATGCATATTCAAGATAGTTTAATATGTATTTTCTGAATTAGAAGTATCACTTTCTTTAATGAATGAGAATTTCTAGTGTAATGATCCGTTACTCCCATCCCCCATCACTGAATTACATTATGTATACATATCATACAGAGCTGATTGCAGTTGGAAACAACAATATTAAAATAAATGTTTAATAGATACAAAGGATCTTTTCTTCACAACATATTTTTTTCTGGTGTCTGGACACCAATTTTAAAGTAATTCTCTATTAGCATTAAACTATTTAAGTGCAAAACAACTTTGTTTTAAAAATCTATGATTGCAGCATCCATCTTCCTGAATAATAGTTTTAAGCCAGTAAGTAATGACTTTCATTTTCCATGAGTGCATTCCAGGTTGTCTTCTAGCCATCTCTGGTTAAAAAAATCAGTGCAAAATAAACAATGGTGAAGTACTAGTTTAACCATTGAACTTACTTGAATTTAAGAAACATACTTTATTTTACACTATATATATATATATATCTTTTATTTATATAGAGAGATTAAATTACACTGGACTTGAAAAGTATAAAGAAAACCAAAAATGTTACTATTTTTTCCTGCAGCACCAAAGGAAGCTTTTTTTATTTTTTGTAGTGAAAACTCTTCCTTGGGTGAGCAGCCTAGCAGTATTAGCTGTAATAAGAACTCATTACATTATTTCTTTGCAAATTACTATGTGATTCACATAATTCCATGTTTACACTCTGCCACATTATAATTTGTGATGCTCTTTGCCTGAAGAACAGCTCCTGGTTCCACTGTCATTACTTCTTGTCCTGTGTTCAGAGATTTGCTAGCAGTAGTGTGATGGCTATACTACAGTTCCACTTGGAGAATTGGCCTGGGTTTGGGATGACAATAAACCCTGCAAACAAAGCAATTTACATTAATCCAGCAAGAGAACCTGACAATAATTTTATATAGTTCTTAGCCTAAAGCTAAAATGAGTACAATTTATTTTTACCACCACTTGCTTACTTTAGACATCAGCACCTTCTCTCCTACAAAAGAATCTAAGCCACTATTGTATCAGTTGAGCAGCACACAAAAGAGCTTTCAGTAGGTAAGAACGTGTGTGCATTTATGACACACGACGAATCCGATCCCAGCATTTGATTTAATCTACCTTGCGGTTGGAGTCATCATGAACTGGGAGACTTTAAGTCATACGCCAGAAAAGCAATCAGCATTTTATTAGGGTAGCAACAAACAAACCTGTTCAATATCAACAAGTTTGACACCTAAACTGCTAACATGGAAATGCTCAATCCCTTATAGGCTATTGAATAGTACAAGCTTTGAATAGAAAAATAGATTATCTAACCAAGTATTTATTTTGGTAATTTTAAAAGAGAACGAAACACTGAGCAAGAGTTCAGTAAAGATTTCCCATTACAACTTAGTCTTACATTCAGGAAAACGTTTTACCAGCTCATTTAACTACATCCCCATTCAAATAAATGAAAATTTCAGACATAATCCCGCGACTGCGTGGCACCCCTCACTAGACAGAGGCTACTGTTCCAGATTAAGGCAACTGTACCTTCAGGATAGATATCAACGGAAAAATTCCATTCCAGGTTTATGCGTAGTAGCCCCTTTTTATTCATTCACATAAAAGTAACTGTACATCAGACTTATTTAGGAAAAGCTTAATACCAAAATACAATTTAGTCTTCTTGCAAAGTCGTTATTCAGTTACGACAAGTGCCAGCAGGCTGAGGAGCACAATGGCAACTAAGCTGGAAGCACACCAGCAAGTATTGTTCTGCAACTCCTTGCTACGTAGGCATGGAAATGCACTTTTAGCAATTCCTCTGAACAGCTTAGGTTCTTACCTCAAAATTAAGTTCCTGTGACTCAGATCCATCAAACTAGACAAGCTCAGGCAGCAATTAGCACACAATGTAGAATTAGGTCACATCTTCTGAATCTACAAGAGCTCTTTCTTGCTTGGATCCAAGAACTGAGGGAAGAAATCCCTGATCACAGACTGAAGAGGTGGACGGAGGGCTGGACTGGCTGGAATCAAGTTCCTACTGATACCACGGCCCTTCCTTTTAAAGGACACCTCATCTACCAGTTCAGAATCTGGATACGTCTGTCGGATTTATAGCAGACTGTGCGTGCATGCACACATTTGATGTTACGTTTAGATATAATGAAGTACGTGATGCTTCATTTGGCACTGTCCATAGATCACACCTGCAGGAACTAGAACTCTTTTTTTATTTGCACTTGTTTATTCAGTGGATATCCAATTCAAACACTGTTGAGGTAGACTGAAGTAGGTTGGCCTTGAAACTTGTTTGACATTCAGGATGTGCGAAGATACTGCACAAGAAGTTTCCTAGTTAAGGAACAGATGGTGAAAAAAGGCAGAATTTTAGAGCAAACAAGCTAATGAAGCAGTTCTGAAGATTTTTACCAAGAAAGTTTTGTTCAAAAGTGATGAAGATGAATCAGACCTCTATAGTTCATTACCAAAGTATTCTTCACAAGTCTATTAAATCCAGCAGGAACTGAAAGGTCTTTCTTGCCAGAAGATAACATCCACTATGCCTGGAAAAAGGCATCCAAAGGTATTATTTTCAGTCTTTAATAAATCAGTGATCCACACTGTTCATTTGCAAATATGTGCTTTATAAGCATAGAAAGTACTGGGGATGGCATAATACGAAGTCTTTTCAACAGGCTCTTAGCTGTGTTATGCAGACGAAGAGAAAGAAGCACTATTCCAATATATGATTTACACTGTAATGCAACCAGGCATTGGGAAACAAAATGAAGAGACTTTCATTTTCCTACAACTCCTCTAGAAACAAGCAGCACACGATGAAATTCAGTGGGGGACCTTGTTCCCTGTGAACTACCAGACACTCTGGAATTCCAGCTCCAAGATCAGGAACAAAGAGTCAGTCCTGGTTTCATCTCCCCAGCTGTGAATATTCCTTGCTTCAACAAAGCTGAAGTGAAGTGCAGGCTCCAACTAAGTGAATACTAGGAACAACTTGTATTTCAGTCCTTGCTCTGAATTAATTCTGCAACTCCGAGCAGGCAAGCCAGAGGAACACCAAAGTGGAAAGAATGTCAAGATCTATATCCTTGGGCTACTGCAGACAGACATTTCCAAAACTTTGCAAGTACTGCCTTAGAACTTGGCCAGGCTACGACACTCATTCCACTTCCATGGGAGATCAGAAATTTTGTGAGTTCTTCCAAGTACTTAATCTCAGAAGACATCTTAGACCATAGATGTTCATACAAGAAAAGCAAGAATAAGAATTTTGGGTTTAGGCACAGAAGTTTTACCAAAGTGCTAAGTGTTCTCAGTGGGTCCTGAGTAACAAAAAAGATTCTACAGAATTTTGCTATTATATCAGAGCCCTTCCAGCAAGGTCATTTAAGAAGTTAAACACACGAAACTTTAGAAAGCAAGTGACCCTCCAAAAAAAGTTACACTTTTAATACAGAAAGTTATGCTGAAGGAGTCTGATCTGTGTGAGACTAGAATATCTGCAATTGCATTCTCTGGGAATAATACGATGGAGAAGGTTATGAAAGAACACAGAGTTCCTGTCTGGAAAATAAGAAATTAGACTGCAGTGCTTCCTGTGACGAAACCACCCAGGTCAGGCAACCAGGTGGCAAAAAATGGAACAAAAGCTGCAGCAACTCATCAGCACAACAGCAAAGCCGCTCAGTCTAACAGCTGTGACAGAAAACACACATGAACCAAGATGCAAGGGCTACAGATCTGCTGCACTGCACAGGGCATCAGCTTAATGTTTAAGAACAAACAGATCACACTGAGCAAGCAGCAGAAACAAATAAGCAGACTGTTCAAAAACGCTTTGAAAATAAATGTAGTCTTTCACTAGCAGTATTATTTTGTCAGCATGTGGGTCTAGCAGGGGGTGGGAAATGGAATAGTTAAGAGACCCAAGACAAGAATTTGGTAAAATAATCTTCATAAAAACCTCAGAGAGGGTCCTCCAAGGAGATGCTCTGTGGCTGAAGCGTGTGTCTTTTGCAGAGGACAGCATCGTATTTCTTGCATCAATTAGCAATGCACGAGCATCAAACAGAGTGTTTCAGCGCTAGTTGCTAAGGCCATTCCATGTATATCAATGAATTCTCTGACTTCCCAAAACACACAAGACTTTGCATATTTGGTAAAAATATGCTTGCATAGGTAGGAATGAAAAGCCATAACAAATACAACCAGTAAGGCAATTTCTACCCAAGGTTCATGGCACTCACAGCTGTGGCTGGTTCTGAAAGACCTGCAGCAGTGACTAACCCTCCTCACAATTCATGAGATTACAGGTGGCATTATTTTCTAAAAAATTCCATATATGCTCAGCCAAAAGTCTGGTTTTTTTCCTCAAAGATACGAAACAAAGCTTCACAACAGAAACCAATTCTACAAAAGATCAGCACATAATTGCTGTATTAAAAAAAATAGGGAGATACTACTAAGCAGGGAAAAAGCCACCAGTAACTACTGAGTTGATGCCTTCTTCATGTAAATTAGAAAGGGATTAACTGAAACCAAAGATGCAACATACCTAATTTCACTAATCTAGATAAACAGCAAGTCTGGCCTCATGAGCAGGATAAGGGAAGTCTGCATCTAAGTGCTGCTTCACAAGGCTCTGGGCACACACTCAACTTTTGCCCTGGGCACGAGCACGCTCCTCCCGTACAACAGCCCAGCAACTCCCAGTAAATTGCTGGATGTCAGAGCTCTTCGTGGCTTTCCTACTCTCTGTTTTGAGACTGACACGTAGAAAAAACAAAGCAAAGGGTCCAGTGTAACAACTAAACAAAAAAAATTCCCTTAGTACACTTCACTAATGCAATTAAACTAATTTAAAAAGTCTGAATTAATGAATGCCCATGAAAAATAGGCACTGATTTGTTAAAACCATTTCTGCTATTGCTAGTATATGAAATAATGGAAATTTATTATTTTAACAATATTCCATGGGTTGTTTATTCTTGTCCAGAACTTTGATATTCCTGGAGTAATTAAAAAAAAGTAATCTGGACCGAGACATTTGCTTGACAAAAGAGCCCATGGTGCAATACAGTATCTGATCAAGACTAATAATATGCCAAAGCAGAATGAGATTTTTCACATTTGTTTAAATTTCTGTAGTCAAATCAGCTGAATCAGTTTTAAGATTTGCACGAACAAAACCTTCAAGAGTTTCATTTTTCAGAATCGGCATTTCTTAGCCTAAGTCTCTGAACTGCACATACTCACTAAAATCGGGTATTAATCTCTAATGGAGTCATAAAATTAATTAACTGAGAATGTTTAAGGAAGCACATGCTGAACATTCACATACTACAGAGAAATACTTTGTATGGGATTTAGGGGGATACAGCAAGCACGTAGTCTATGTGTTCACTAAACGGAGTCTGCCATTTGCTTTTTTTTTCCTGTTCTGGTAGCATTATAGAAAAGTATAAATGCTTAAACCACTTGACACCAGTCTTGTAAAAGCACATGGTAGCATCAAGGAGGTTCCACTTGCAATTCCTCTTCTGTGAACATAAAGGCTTATTTTCTCCAAACAGAGGTGTATCACCATTTTACTCATTGTCAACAAAAAGAAAGTCCAGGCTGCCAGAAAACCAGCAGACAAACTAAAAATCTGTCTAGTGGTATTAGGCAAGACTACTGCAAGACCAGTATATAAGTGACAAATGGAATACACACATATCCACGAGGGGAAAAAAAAAATAATAAAAATGAAGACGCAGCTGCTTGATTGCTGGGAAAAGCAGAAAAGGCTTTTGCTATCAGAAACCTGATCTGGCTTGAGCAAGAAGACCTCAAGCTCCCTTAGGCAG